GAGAGAGAGAGAGAGAGAGAGAGAGAGAGAGAGAAAAGAAGAAGTAGGACCAAGAAGTGGCGCCTTCCAACTACCCAAAACCTTTAGTCAGTAAATATGAATAAATTATTTTTTAAAATTCAAGGTTTCAAACAATAAAAACAATTAATGTGTTGACCAAATCGGCTAAACGTTTCACTAGCCTCGACAGCTTCTTCGGGAGCAAATGTCAGAATCACTTTCACAATATTACGGCCCTTGCAACATAATTAGGGTCATAATACAAGTTCCGAAGGCTGGAGGCGTTACAAGAGAGTACCACACATAGAAAAGAAGTGGGAGAGATCAGGATGATAGATGTTTGATAGGAAAGAAGGAGCAAACCAAAGTGAGTGTTGGCACGATACCTTAAGATAAGATGAGATGAGACAAGATGAGACAAGATGAGACAAGATAAGATATGATAAGACGAGACGAGACGAGACAGGATAAGATAAGATAAGATAAGAAAAAAAGGAAAGAAAAGATAAGATAAGATAAGATAAGACGAGAAAAGACAAGACGAGATGAAATAAGATAAGATAAGATAAGATAAGATAAGATAAGATAAGATAAGATAAGATAAGATAAGACACGAGGGGGTTATCGTGCTCACCTTGAGATTGGAGGACCAGAGGAAGGACTTGCCGCACGTCTGGCAGACGTAAGGCCGGTCGGCGCGGTGGAGCTGCTCGTGTTTTCGGAGGGTGGCGACCTCACGGAATGACCTCTGGCACACCTCGCAGCGGTGGGGGCGTGGCCCGTTGGAAGACGGCAGCTTCACGCTCGGGGTCTCCTCCATGGCTGGGGGGTGAGAGAATATGAGAAAACGTTAGGGGAAATGAGATGGCTGGAAGGTGAGAGAATATATGAGATAACGTTAGGGGAGATGAGATGGCTGGAAGGTGAGAGAACATGAGATGATGTTAGGGGTGAGAGAACATGAGATGATGTTAGGGGAGATGAGAAGGCTGGAAGGTGAGATAATATGAGATGATGTTAGGGGAGATGAGAAGGCTGGAAGGTGAGAGAACATGAGATGATGTTAGGGGTGAAAGAACATGAGATGATGTTAGGAAAGTGTGAGAAGAGATGAGATGAGATAAGATAACGTTAGGGGAGAAAAGATAAGATGGTGTTAGGAAGCTGCGAGATGAGATATGACGAGATGAGATGAGATAAAAATGATAACGTTAGGGGAGATAACATGAGAAGAGATAAGATTAGATGGAATAACGTCAGGAAGCTCGGAAGGTGTAAGATGAGATGAGTCAAAACAAGGCAACAGACACACACACACACTCAGGCACACACACACACACACACACACACACACACACACACACACACACACA